TAAACCAGGTATTGTGGCATAGACCTGTAATCCCAGTACTTGAGAGGAAAAAGCAGGAGGATCAGGAGTTCAAACTCAGCCTCAGTTTTATAATGAGTTCAAGGCTACTGTGGACTACATGTGATACTCTCCCCCCTACAAGGAATGCCAACTATTAAAATCAGAAGGAATGGTAGAATTAGAAAAATGTGCTTTTGTGTTAAAGAATAAATTTTAAAAATGTCAAACTGCTTAGAAAGCAGAAAAATTAAAACATCCTTATCAGAACCTTTAGGATATACTCAGAGATAAATGCATGTCCTTGAAATATTGTCATGAAAGAGGTAATTAATCCCATATAGTAGATACAACTGTGTTCTCCAAAAAGATGTTCAAAAGTTCTAATTCCCAGAATGTGACCTTATTTAGAAATAGTTTTTTTGCCAGGCATGGTGGCACACACCTTTGTTCCCAGCACTCAGGAGGCATAGGCAGGTGGATCTCTGTGAGGTCAAGGCTTGCCTGGTCCACATAATGAATTCGAGTCCAGCTGGGGCTACAGGAAGACCCTGTCTCAAAAAGGCCAAAATAAAGGAAATGGAGAGATGGCTCAATGGTTAAGAACACCGACTGCTCTTGCAGAGGACCTGGGTTCGATTCCTAGCACCCACATGGCTGTCCTTAATTCCAGTTCCAGGGGAATCTGATGCCCTCTTCTGACCTCCACGGCATTCCACGACACAGGTGTACTTACATACATGCAGGCAATACACTCATTCACATAAAATAAAAAGTAATAAAATATTTTTAAAATACCCAAAAAAAAGAGTTTTTGAAGAAGACATTGCTGTAGCCCAGGGTGGTCTAGAATTCACTTTGTAGCCCAGGCTAGCCAACTCATAGCATTTCTCCTGCCTCAGCCTCCTGAATGTTAGATTTATTGGCATGAGTCACCACACTTAGCTTAAATTCAATTTAATTTAAATAAATTTTAAGATGCAAATCCTGTATCATATTGTCCACATTCCAAGTCTTCAGTAGTCACATATTGGGAGCTGAATATTCAGGGCTGCCAGGTGCAGGCTGCCTCCATGCACCCTCTCCCCGCCCCGGCCAAGCACCTAAGGGGATAGTGGCAAGGCCTATCCTGACTGACCCAGGGTCAAGGTACAGGCAGTTTGGCTCCCAGAGAGCAGCTAACAGGATATTGGCAAGGCCTGTCCTAGCTGACCCAGGGCTAAACCTGTACAGGTCAGTCTGTGATACTCAGTCTCCAGGTGCATGTGTTTCTCTTAGTAGTTCTGCTTGGGTGCTGCTGATACAATTACATATGATAAATGCAATTGTTCCCAGGTACATGCCTTTGTCTTATAAGTTCTGCTTGGCTACTGCTAACACAAGTACATGTGATTAATGAAACTGATGATTGAAACGACGTGGTTCAAAGGAACTTGTGGTTTTGTGCTATATTTCTATAGTAAGAATTTTCCTGCTTTGAGGCAAGGTATAAAAGCATTGTTATCCTGCAATAAAGTTCCTGTTTGGTCATCAGCCTGCAGGTCCTCCTGATCCCAGCTGTTTCTATTATCTGTGTCTTTTTTCCTTCATCCCCTACCCTTCCCACTTAGGTTTTAGGATTCCCCACCGCTGGACTGTGGCAGTCACATTTGGCTGTTACTGAATTGTACAGGACCAATAAACACTAAAGAAACTTAAATCATATATATCTGGGCCTGAGAGATGGCTCAGCGGTTAAGACTGTGTACTGCTCTGGCAGAAAACCTGAGTTCAGCTGTCAGCACCCATGTCAGGCAGCTCACAAATAACCTGTAACTCCAGATCTGTATCTTTATATCTATATCTGTACATGACCTCCTAAGTGCTAGCATTACAGGTGTGTACCACCATGCCTAGCAGATATCTATCTACCCATCTATCATCTATCTATCTATCTATCTATCTATCTATCTATCTATCTATCTATCTATCTATCATCTATCTATCTATCATCACTTGAAACAATAAGAACAATAATGTATATAGTTAATTGTAATTGTAAGGGTCTAGCAGACATGTCAGACTTCTAGGATTTTTTTTTTTATGTGTATGCGTGTATTGCCTGCATGTAGGTAAGTGCACCCATGTTGTGCAATGCCTGCGGACAGAAGAGACCATTGGATCCCCTGGAACTGGAGTTACAGACAGTTGTTAGCTGCCATGTGGGTGCTGGGAGTCAAACCCGTGTCTTTTGCAAGAACAGCCACTGTTCTTAACCGCTGAGCCATCTCTCCAGCCCCAAGACTTTTCTAGGATCTTAATAAAGGGTCTTACAGTGTCTGTTGACCCTCAAGTTCAGAAATTTGTACTTTTTCTTAAAAAGTTGATTACGAGCCGGGCGTGGTGGCACACACCTGTAGTCCCAGTACTTGGGAGGCAGAGGCAGGTGGATCTCTGAGTTCAAGGCCAGCCTGGTCTACATGGTGAGTCCCAGGACAGCTGGGACTACAGGGAGACCCTGCTTCTAAAAGACAAAAAAAAAAAAAAAGTTGATTCCGGTGAGCCACTGAGGAGCAGTCTTTGGGCATGGATTCCTGTCTCAACTTCCTGTATGCAGTCCTCGGCCCACTCATGCGTCTTCAGCCCAATTCCCCACAGCAGCCAGAGGTCCTGTGGAAAGAAACGCTGGCTTGCCTGTCCTCTGCTTCAGGCTTAGCAGGCTCCTCATGTTCTCAAGATAAAGACGCAGACTTTCCTCAGCCCAGGTGCACAACCTCAGGCCAGGCCATGCTAAATGAGAAAAGTTGTTTCCTAATTCTTGGTCCTTTTGGCCTCCAACTCCTGAGGGCAGGGAAGGCCTGTCTTCAGTCCCGACAAGGTGCTGTGCACAAAGCAGGCGTGTCCAAGGTTTGGGGACTGAATGCACCAGGATAGGGGGTTGCTGAGCTGTGTGCTGCTGCAGCTGGCTCAGTCTCCAGATTCCCTGAACCAGGGGCTGAGCAGGACCTGACTGGACCTGCAAGGACCCCAGGAGGGCAGCAGAAGACAGAGTGAGAGCTTCAGGAGGGGCAGGCCCAGGAGGGGGTGATGCTATGTTCATATCTACTTAGGTGGACTGGACATGTCCTTCTCACTGTCCCTGGAGCTGCTGTCCTACCAGAAGCTTCTGGCCAACCAGATGCTGCCCAAAGTGGACACTCAGCAGAGTGAAAGTGGAGAGATAAATGGTGTTTACTCAGGGTTTACTCCTGGGGTACACCAACCAGACCCCACAGACAAGTCTGGGGCTGACCCACACACCAGGGAGAAAGAAGGCACCTGGCTGGCCTCTTCCCAGGCTGCCCTACCCTAAGTGTGAGGGGCTGGAGGATGGGAACTCCAGGAGCTCCCTGAAGAGAAAGGAAACCACAAGGACAGATTCAGGGTATGGTCTGATTGGTGGGGACAGTGAATACCCAAGGCAGCTGTGAGGGATGCTGCTGGCTCCTGTGGGGCTCCAGGGTGAGGTCCACCAACCAGAAGGTCACAAATCAGAGTGGAACTGAGAGGGTCAGAGCAGCTGCCTGGAGCCACAAGTGAGCTCCTGTAAACAACCCCGACTAAAATCTCTGGTTCACCGAGTGGAATCATTTATTTGATCTGCTGTTGGGGCCCTATCTGGAGTGAGTAGCTATTTGTTCAGGGCTCCTTAGGAAAAGTCACATGACAGCTTCGCAGCAGGGAGAAGGCAGAAGGCAAAGGCAGTGGATAGCTGACAGACCTACCAACGTGGGAGCACAGAGCTCCATGGGAGCAAGGCTGGCAGAGGGGCAGAGGGTGCCCTTAACCTGTTGTCATGCAGAATCCCACCTGCCCTCTGACCTTGGTGGCGGTGGCAGTGGCAGTCCCCTGCTACTACCTACTGTGCTGCTGGCCCAGCTCTGCTCAGACATATCAGTACTTGGGGAAGGCAGGGTTCCTTGTATGCCAGGAACCCCAGCTCAAAACTCCACCCCAGTGGGCAAGGATGCTTCATCTCTCACTGAGTCACAGGCTTGGGCCCCCAGGAGGTGCCCCTAAGGGCTGTCATGGCTGTGACAGAGCTGCAGTTCTCCACCAGCTGGGTGGACTTAGGGACCTGCTTCGTGAATGAGCAGCGCACCAGGATGGTCTACCTGATGAACCTCAGTAGCTGCTGAAGTTACTGGACTGTGTTGATGGGTATGTCGTGCCCTCCCACCTGTCCACTGCTCCTTGGTGGAACTGGGCAAGACCCCTAGGAAGGGCTGCTGAGGTCCTGTCCGTGCAGACTGGCTCCTCAGCACTGGTGGCTCCTGCCAGTCCTCCAGTCCCTGGTTGCCCTGCCCTGTGTTGCTGGCAGGACCAGAGATGACACTTGAGAGACAGGGCTGGTCTGGGGGAAATGAAGTCTTGGAGGGGGTCACAATATGAAGCACCCTGTGCCCATGTGTGTCTATCCCTTCAGTGCAGGGCTGGAGGAGTTGGCAGAGGAGGTTAGGGCTTTTGGGGTCTACCCAGGCCATCCCACCAATGCACCCCCCCAACCTCCATTCCCTTGCAAGTGTTCTTCACTGGGCACGGGGGGGGGGGCACTGCCTAACCTCACCTACCCGCCTCCCCAGGGACTACCGGCTGTATGAATCCATGCTTCTGGTGGAAGGCATGCTGGGTGAGAAGGCCTGCACCCTGCAGGTATGGAGCTGAGGCTCTTATGACAAGAGATAGTGGCACCTCAACAAGCTCTGAGGCTCCCCAGCACTCAGTCTCAGTCCCAGCAAGTCAATATGGCCCAGGGCTGAGGTGCAGGGGTGCTGAGCAGGAACATGGACTACAAGGCCGAGCAGCATCTAGGATCGGCGAGTGTGGTCTGGGGCAATGGTGTCTGTCAGGGCTCAGCATGACAGTCTCTAGAGCTCATACATGGGCTATTCTGGTGAGAAAACCATGGCTCTTAATCACTGCAGAAGGCACACAAAGCCCAGCAAGGCAAAAGCTGGCCCCTGGAGGAAATGACAGCCACCACAATGAGATAACACACATTTACTACATCCATTGCACTAACCATGGGGTCATCGTGCTTCAGAAGTACACAATGGCCTTGTGGCCTGAGTGGTCCATGCACATTTCAGTCTAGCTTGATGGGGTAGTCCCACCTGTTCCTGTACTGTGTCACCAGTGATCACATTCTCTAAAGTGCTGTGATTCGTCCACCCAGTGCTCACCCCTCCAGTGCTGTGTTCCATATGGATGGCTTCTGCAGTGTCCCTCTCTGGCTGCCACAGGACATTCTGGGTAGCACCTGCAGCCAGGGCCTCAGTTCCCAGGGTATTCGAAGACAGCAGCGGCTCCCATGCCGGTCCCGATGCACATGGACACCACTCCATATGCCCTGGAGAAAGGAACCTGTGTTGTCTGGGCAGTTAGACCCCAACCCTTGCCCATACCAGGCTGAGCATGAGAACAAGGGCTCATGGACAGAGATGCAAGACCAGCAGAGCAGATCTGTGGGAACTCAGCCACAGACTGCCCACAGACATGGGTGAAGGAGGCAGACACACTCCAAAGGCTATGCTACCTTTTAAGCAAGCCTTCAGAAAGACAAATGTTACCCCTCTAACCTCTGTTCAGAGTTGCCTGTGAGTGCTCACCTCCCCAAACCTCAGCCCTCAAGCACAGGAGCTCATACACTCCCTCATGACACCCCATGGCACCCCACAAGAAGCGGCCTTACCTCTTCCCCCGGCGTTTCAGCTCATTAAGCAGCGTGACAACCTGTCGCGCCCCAGTGCAGCCCAGGGGGTGGCCCAGGGCTATCGCACCCCCCAGAGGGTTGACTTTCTCTGGTGGAATTCCCAGCTTCTCCACACAGTAGAGGGCCTAGACGGAGCCAGAGCAGCAGATGGAGCCTCTGCCCACCCTACACTGTTGGCCCCACTCACTCCCACCACACCACCTAGGCTCACCTGACTTGCAAAGGCCTCGTTGATCTCAAAAATGTCTATGTCACTCACAGTCAACCCTGCAAGCAAGGTACAGACCAGAGCTGATGGCCATTGGGCAGTACTCCAGGTTTCCCCTAGACCCCACTCAAGCACAGCTCTAGCGGTCTACTGTTTCTGTCGGGTGAGTGGGTACCAGCTGTAGGTTTGGCAGAACTTGGATGTGGGGTGCTAGCTGCCCCACATTCACTCCACAGTATCCACAAGGTCAAACCCAGCACACAGTCCCAGCTCCAGGGTATGCAGGGTCCAGGTGTAGGGTGAGAAGGAGCTATCTTACCTGCTTTCTGCAAAGCTTCAGGGATAGCATAGGCAGGTCCGATGCCCATGATGTCAGGAGGGACTCCAACCACTGCAAAGGACCTCAGGACCCCAAGGATGGGGAGCCCCAACTCTTTGGCCTTGGACCTCCGGGCCAGCAGGACAGCAGCTGCCCCATCACTCACCTGGCTAGAGTTTCCTAGGGGAGGATGAGTAGGGTGAGGAGGCATCAGGCTGAACTGAATAGAACTTGCATTCCTACTATTGCCTTGCCAAAGGGCCTGGTCAGAATAGAACCACCCACCTGGCTCAGCCCAACCTGGCCCGTACTCACCAGCCGTGGTAGAGCCACCATCCTTGAAGGCAGGCTTCAGCTTGGCCAGGCCCTCCATGGTGGTGCTGGGTCGGATGCCCTCATCCTGGGACACAGTGATGGTCCTCTTGTTGCCCTCATCATCAAGGACAGTGGTGGTCACAGGCACAATCTCTTCCCGAAAGCAGCCCCTGCTCTGGGCTCTTGCTGCCCTGCCGGCAACATGGACAGCGAGACTCAGGCATGTTTGGTTCCCCTTCTTGCCTGTCCCCAGCCTTTGCCAGCTCAGGAACACATGAACCTCAGGCTTTTTAATTTGGGGGCATACCTGGTACCTGGGGAGTCTGATTGATTGGTAGGAATTCCTCAAGACCCCCAGCTACCTTTGGGTAGGGAGGGGATGACTGTGGCCATCCCCAGGCCATCCAGGATTTCTTCACCATCTGCTCTACATCTCTAGATTATGTCCAATTCCCACCTCAAAGGGGAGGAGGAAGTTTGGAGATGGTGGCACAGTCCTTTGTTTCCATTTTAATATGTGTGTGCACACCATTTCACACACATGAAGGTCAGAGGTCAACTTTTCTGGAGTCAGTTCTCTCCTTCCACCTTGTTTGGGAAGGTGTTATCTTTTCTGTTGCTAAACTGAGTACTCCACAGACCAGCCTGTGAGTTTCCTGATTCCCCTGTCTTTGCTTCCTGTCTCACTGCAGGAGTGCTAGGACTGGGATTACAGGTACCCACCACCACATCAGGCTTTTCACATGGGTCTGGTGATTGAACTGGGGTTATTAGGCTTGTGTGGCAAGTATTTTCACTCTTTTAAAAAAAATTTTATTTAGCCAGGCGTGGTGGTGTACACCTTTAATCCCAACACCCAGGAGGCAGAGGCAAGCAGATCTCTGAGTTCAAGGCCAGCCTGGTCTACATAGCTGGGGCTACAGGGAGACCCTGTCTTAAAAAGACCAAAAAAAAGCATTTGTTATTTTATTATTTTTATTATTATGTGTATGAGTGTATTATCTGCTTGTATATACTCATGACATGCAATGCCTGTGGAAGCCAGAAGAGGGCACTGGATTCCCTGGAACTGGAGTTACAGCTGGTTGTTAGCTACCATGTGGGTGTAGGAACTGAACCCAGGTCCTCTGCAAGAGTAGCCAGTGCTCGTAACCACTGAGCCATCTCTCCAGTCCCAATTTTTAAACAATAGTATTATTATTAATAATAATTATTATTATTTTGATCTTTTTGAGACAGGGTTTCCATGTAGCCCCAGATGGCATGGAATTTACTATGTAGACCAGGCTGGTCTTGACCTCACAGAGATCTGCCTGCCTCTGCCTCCTGAGTGCTGGGACTAAAGGCGTGTACCACCACACCTGGCTTCATTATTATGTTTTTAAAGTCAGGGTCTCACTATGTAGCTTTGGCTGGCCTAGATCTTGTTTATGTAGACCAGGCTAGCCTTGAATTCAGAGATCCACCTATCTCTGCCTCCTGAGTGCTGGGATCAAGGGCTTGTGTCAACACTAGAGGCCCTACCATGAATATTTGTGCTGGGCTCTGTTAGCTTTCCTTTTGACTCCAACAGTGAAGATTAATCTCAATTGTTAACTTGATAACAATACAGAATAACCTGGGAGATGGGTCTCTAGGCATATGTGGAGGGATTATCTTGATTAGCCTAGTGATGTGGGAAAACCTACCCACTGTGGGTAACACCATTCCTTAGGCAGGAATCTTGGACTGTATAGAGAGGAAAATGAGCAGAGAACAAGTATTTATTCATCATTCTCTGCTTCCTGACTGCAGGTGTATGACCAGCTCTTGCCACCTTGACTGCCCCACCAGGATGAACTATACTCTCAAACCGTGAGCCAGAATAAGCCCCTTTTCCCTTAAGTTGCTTTTATCAGGTTATTTTATCACAGCAACAGAAAAGTAACCAAGGTACCAACATACGTATTTTACCTGATCCCTAGTTTGTGCAAATTTAACGTGATGTGTAATAATCTACTGGATACATTTTCCCACTCAGTGTTGAAGCACAAGGATTATTAGGATGACCTTTGCAATAGTGTGCAAAATCGAAGGGCAAGGAATGCAAAGCTTTCCTTGCATATATGCTGAAGGACATTAAGAAGCTAAGAATCCTACCCAAGGAGATTCTGCATCCCTTTCTTTGCTGTCTTCATTGTAGAACTCAATTGGCCAACCTAGCCTGCAGCTGCCAAGAGGTCTAAGGCTCTGGGCTTCTTTCACAGCAGCCCAGCTTTGCCTCAGGTCACCTCCCAAGATCCATGTCTGCTCCACAGGTTGGCAAGGCAGGGCTCTAACACAACTAGCCCCATACTTCAGACCTGAGGTTTGTCAAGCCCTGTCTGCCTAGCTGTGTGCTTGGGAGCTCTACTTCAGACCATTAGGGTGGCCTTGTGACTCACTCTCAAGCCCTATCAACATCTCATCCAAGTTGCACTCACTTCTGCTGGGAGGTCAGTGCGAAGGCATCCTGCTTCTGCCTCGAAATGCCAAACCGCTCAGCCACATTCTCCGAAGTTATCCTAGGACACAAACGGCAAAGATGAGTCTGGTGGTCTGGGCTGCACTGTAAGGCTGTACTTGCACCTCTGGGTATTCAAGTTAGAGGCAGGGCATCCAGTCCATGCCCCAAGGACAGGGGTGGTTCTCCTGTCTCACCACAGATGTTGAACACCCAAGCTGGACAGATCCTCAAAGGTTCATATTCCAAAGGCACCCTCTTAAAGGATAGAACAGCCTGAATATGAGACCCACAGAAGAAATCGTCCCTTGTGCCAGTTGCTTCAACCCATAGGAGAGGGGCACAGGGGATGCTAGGGGTGCTATATGGCTCCGGCTTCTCTTACAGTTCCCAGGCTCTCCTATCCTCCCTGGAACATGGCACCTCAGATAGGGTAATATAAGACAGGTTATGTTTGGAAACTTGGGGCTCAGAACTTGAGGGGAGATCTCTGGAAACAGAAGTCAAGAGCAGCATCAATCCCATGCCCAGTTCCTGCAGAGCACATTGACACTCAAAGAAAGGAGGATGAACAAGGAAGGCTAGGTACTGCCAGCATCAAAGGAGGAAGTTCCTTGGCACCTGGCTGAAGAAAGACAGCACTGAATAGACACAGACACATACAACTTCATGTGGACGCTTACCCCATAGGTATCAGGCAGTCTTTGGCCTTCTCATTCTCCAGCAGGCGTGAAGTAATATTTCCAGGATTCCCTCTATCAGACAGGGACATGGACTCCACCCTGAGAAGGAGGAGGGGGCTCAGCCCTAGTAGGAAGCCCCAGGGATGGCCAGCTGTGTGGCAAGTTCTGGGCAGTAGCCAGGGAGCCCTTGGAAAGTGTAGTAGGCTATCTGGGAGGCCTGGGAAGGGCAAGCGGCCCATGAGGCAGGCCCATAACTACAGGACAGCTGAATCCTGTTTTTTCCTCTAACCTGGGTCATAGTGCTGCACCAGGCAGACTCTCAGGGCCAGGGTCTCACTGCCTAGAACAAGTGCTGAGGCGGATAGCTGGCAGCTCCCACCAAAGCCTTCCAGTGTGCGCCCCCACCCCAGCATAGGACATTTACCCAGTAAGTCAGGCCTGGCTCTTAGTGCCTAAGTTAGAAGGGAAAGGGAGAAATTTCTTTAAAGCAAGTACAAAGTTAATATCAAGCAAAGAGACCTGAACAAATAAACAAGGAGGTGAGGTAACTCAGAGGAAGGCCAGGTGGTCGGTGTAGAAAGTTTAGAAGGGATGGGGAATAAGGCCTCAAGGATAGCAAATGACCTTAACCTGGTGTTTTCCTGCCTCCAGTACTAGCTTGAACTCTTTTCAAGCAGAAGAGCCCTTTAAACAGTGTCACCACAGGACACAGAACCCATGGTGTCAGCTATGTAACCACAGCTCTATCTAATCCTCTTATAATAGTCATAGAGCTCAGGTAGGAGTCTCCTTTTATAGATGAGGACAGTGAGGTCTGAGTGGTAAGGAATTTGTCCACAGTTGTCCAACCTGGACCACAACTAGGCAATCTGGCCCCAGAGATCATCCTCAATGTGGAGGCCCTGGGAAAGCTGCACTCTCAAAAACTAGGAAATGGTTGAGTTGTGATGTGGGCATCCTCAAGGCCCAAATGATTCATATTCAATGCCAGGTTCCTCAACCTGCCTAGGTATAGAAGCTCCTGAGGAACTCATGGAGTCCCAGTACTTCTCCACAAGCCACTACACATACCGTCCTCAAGTAAGACAAACACAAGAAACAGCAAAGGGCAGGATGGCCATGATTCTTCCCTACCACAATCCCTGTTTGTGAACTTTGGCTATGTTCTTGCTAAGACTAGGTCAGGACAACCCAGTGCAAGGCAGCTGGAACCTGGCCCTAGACCAGTAACGCTGGTCAAGAAACGTTCCACAGATGACCTGAGAGGCAGTGGGAGCCTGTCAGAACCTAGGATGCTGGGCTCTTGGCCTGCCAAGGCCTCCCTCCATCAGTGTCTTCCCAGTGTCAGATGTCCCAGGCTGGGACCCAATACCCTGTCCCTCCCTGCAGCCACTTTCAAGAGCCATCAAACATCAAAGGCATTCTTAGTTTCTTAGTGTGGTATTTACTTTTTTTTTTTTTTTTTTTGTTTTTTTTCAAATGGGTTCCTCCGTTGCTCCAGCTGGCCTGGAACTCACTAGGTAGACCAGGCTGGCTTTGAACTCACATAGATCTGCCTGTCTCTGCCTTCCGAGTGCAGTGACTAAAGGCATGTTGACACCATGCCTGGCTATGTGTGTGTGTCATTATTTTTAAAAAGTATTTTATTATTATTTATTTTT